TGCAAAACACTGAGGTCAAGATGTGTTGTGTTGCCAATGCCTTGTGAAAACGAAAACAAATGTGTCTGTAAAAACAGCCGCATTAGTCTACAAATAATAATAAAAGGAAAACAAATATTTCAGATTTATTACCCTAATTAATAACTGGATGATGAGTACAAAATGTTAGACTTCGTCAAGTCCTACAGTATAATACCAGGCAATGTAAGCTCTAGCACATAGATGATACATCATCATCATCATCAACTCATACGGATGGCTAATTTCAGCAAATGTACTCAGACAAGGCGACTGTCACTGTGCAGCATCAAACACAAAACATTCAGCAGGTTCTGGGTCAGGTATTTCTCTCAGGAGTTGGAGGAGACCAAAGCAGAGCAACAGTACTGACACCCTGGACTTCAACATTAACGATCTGGCCAGAAAGGACTGACCTAAGTGGGATGCTCATGTTGCTCTTTGTCTGCAGGAATTGTGAGTTTGCTACGAGCAAACAAAAGCAGTTGAGACATAATGGCATTAGGAGAGGGCAATATAGATTCAATCTTCTGTTGTCTGTGTTTCCCCTATCGTTGCCCTGAGGGGCAGGGGGGAGTCACAGAGTGAGACCCATCTAAGCTCTCAGAGAAAAATATTTATTTGGCTCTGCATGACCAGTTCTGGTCTGTTTCTTTGTAAAAGAAAATAATAATATACATTCTTGTATCACCAATTCTTCAATAGCAGAAACACCGATAGTGGTGCATTCATGCTCACTAATATATACAGTAGTACTGGGTACTGGGATTTCTCCCAGTGCTCCCGATGACCCGGCTATGACTGATGAGTCAGGCCAAGCAAAATATCCAAACATCCCATTGTTACAGCTTTTCAAAATGTAAATAATTGCAGCTTTTCTATCCCTCAAGTGAAAGTAAGGAGCCACAGAGTGTTGAGTGGACATTTGTTGGCACCAAACAGGATATTTAAAATGTGTCACTTTGTACTTTAGGGAACTGTAACAGCCATATTTCATATGCCATTTTGAACAATATTGAAATTGATATGGAATTGCAGATCTAGACTAACAGTAATTTCACTTTTCCAGTGTTTTATTTGAAGTGTTGTTATTGATAAAAAAATATATTTGTGTGGTTTGGTTTTACATATCCTCTCTTACGCGATGCAAGTGTCTGTTTCTTGCGATTGGTTGATGATTTCTGATGCATTGGCCGCAAACGACAGAGAGAGACTGTAGCTTTGTTAAACTCAATGGTGAATGGAAATGGGGTTGGTCGGTCAGTGCTTAAAACGGGACCAGTTTGAACTAAAATTCTTTCAGAAATATTAGGAACGTTAGCTGGCGGTGTCTAACATTACAATGCTCAGGAAGGCTGTGCTGTGATACACTGGCTTCCTGACATCCAACAACTGCGCACAACTTCCTCCACATTTTTCCGTTTTGTAGCTTGTTGGTTCAGCCTCAGAATTACAGAAAGCTAGGTGTTGTGTTGTAAACAAACGTGAAAACCTTTACTTAAGTGTAGCGAGAAGGAATTGCGAATAAACCCACATACATATATTTATATGAGATGCTGGTGATGCATCGGTGCCTCACCCCCTCACCAAGTATCCTCCCTCGTTTAATTGACATGAGGATTAGTTCAAATCTAACCTGGCAAGACTGCACCTGAAAACCACCATGACAGCTTGGTGAATCAGCCACACAGACGGTGCAGGGCAGGACTCTCAGCTGATATAATGTCAGAGTGAGAAGACCCTAACTACCGGGTATGTCTGTGAAACTGAAAGCACCTCGTTACTCAGATAGTAGACATTACCATACAGACATCATAGGTGCTGCACAAACATGCAATAAAGACTAAATGTCTACAATGGGGCTGATAAGGAGCACAACCCAAGAATTAGAGCTGGCTGAATAACAACTGAGTCACCATGAGCAAGAGAGAACGGCAGTGATGTCACCGGCAGCAGAGTGGAGGTGAGGACGAGGTGAAATGAAAAGAAAAAAGACAGATTCCTCCACAGCCCTCGAGGATTTGTCAAACATCTACTTCCCTTCCTGTAATAACTAAACTTAAAAAACTCCTCTGTGGCCTATGATAAGTCAGAGTTAACGTTGCAGATCTTTATCAAAGTTTTTGATCTGTCACTGCGGAAAATGTGACACATTGGCACCATACTTCAGTGAAACTAAAAATTAAATGTTATGTTGTCTCTACAAACAAGCAGCCGAACAACTTTAACTGAATAAAAAACAGTTGACAGAATTCTGATTTAAATTACAAGTCCATTTGAGGTTATAAAAGTTGGTTTTGCTACATTTTCGGTTAATTATCAAGCTCTAGTAACAAGTACTACTTAGTCTGTGAAAACTATTGCATAGTGTCTCTTCTGGCTTTAGAGGAGCTTTGTCAAGTCCGCCACAATAACCCCGATGATGTCAAAGTGATGTCGCTGCTGCCTGAAGAAAACAAGTGTGACAGAAAGACTGCGTGACAAACTGTTGGAGTATAAAATACATTAAGGGCAGACGTCCACGTGCAGTCCAAAGTTATATTTCTAATTTTGTTTGACAATTTAGTATAGAATAGAGGTAAGACAAGGGGCATAAAAAGTGAAATTTTAATCTATGTAATTTATGTTACTGAATATTTATGTTGTAAGGTTTTTTCTTTTTTTTTTGACTACTTAAGATGCTCACAGCTATTTTGTGATTTTTTTTCCAGAAACGTTTGAAAATACACTGAACTAAACTTAACCTACGGGATTGGAATGGAATGTGGGATCAGGTGCACGTGCCTGGAACGCCACACCAACACGGACCCTCGTTTTGGTATAATTGGAACCATGGGCATGGACGTGTGACCAGAATGTGCACGCAACTCTCAGTGGACACAGAGTGCAGAAAGCAGGGTCAACTCTTTACAGGAGGGGCGAGACCTCTGCAGCAATGGATCTGTGCGTTCTTTTAATTTACTCAACCTTTTGTTTTTCCTGGACCGTCTCTTGTCTCCCAGCTTTTTTTGTTGTGTGATATTAAATTGCTGGCCTAGCCCTTTAAAAAAACTCACTGGTTCCTGCTTCTGAGTATTTGCTGGCGTTAAAAATCACATGAAAATAAACCTCGTCAATTCTGTAGCCCAGTTTTCTGAAGAAGAGCACGGGGGTATAGCTGAAATATTATATAGAATGCCACAATAATTTCAGTTCGCTAGTCAGTGTGTCTATGTCTCAAGGGGTTTCTTACAGGGCTCTAATATAAGATGTTGATTTATAAGTATGGCTGTCAGCATTACAAGGCCCTGTATGTTTTCTCTGTTGCCATCAGCTTGCTAAGGACTTGGATGACATCAAGATAACATCATCTGAGGTTATTTTGTCAGACTTAAAGCTCCTCCAGACCCACGATATTTAACTGTCTTCACATACTGAGTAATAATCCTTGTGATGTTTAAGCTGTACACTGCTATACCCCTTTAAAACTCATCTCTGAGGATACGAGGTGTGTGTTTTACCGATCTGCCAGGCTGGATAATCCATTTATCCAAGGCCCTGCACTTGGACACACACATCCTGATCCCGGGGTGGCATTACCGTGGGTACGTAACATGTTCATCACCGCCACAATCATTAGGGTTGGGTTTCTCTAGCGGCAGGTGTCGGCATGTGTGTGTGTGTGTTTACATGGGCTCAAGGCCTCCTCATCCCATAGGGTGTGGACCTGGCTTGTTATGAGCAGATGGTCATAATTACCAAAGCACGGAGAGCAGCCGCAGAGGAAAAAAGGGGGTGTTGGTGTTAAACTGCTGCGTAGCCAGATTGATTTCAGCAACCTGGATGGAGTAAGCCTCTTTTCAACAAGGCCAGGCCAAGGTAGTTCCCTTTAATCCACAAACTGTCACCCGCGCCCACTCGACTGTTCAGGTTTACTCTCTGCAGCTGCTGGGATAAGGTGACTCGCACTCCGGCTGCTTAGTATACTATGGAATCATCACTCATTCCAGACTACACGCAAAACGAAAACAGCTTAGTGAACCCTGAACTACACCAAACGGATAACATGCAGTCTTACATGTTGAGGAAGAGAAACTCACGTCAGACACTTCTTTCTTTCTCTACAATTCAAGTCCACTTTCAGAGAACTACTTCTTATTTAAAAAAAAGCTGGAACTCATGTGGTTTCGCTTAAACAGTAAAGCCACTATCTAATAAAACTTACCAAGACCACCAAGCAAGGACTTTTATTTAAAAGTCCGACATTCTTTAACTCGGAGCACACATCAACACAGTTTCAAACGGGATTCATGTATTCGCACACCATCATTGAATTTTCATTTCATTATTTTACACATCCCTCTCAAATATTTATCCTATTTAATTTCTTGTACTTCTTCTATTCTGCTTCACTGTGCTTTCTAATTACAAACTGACCTCTTATTATATATTAAACTATATTATTTGACACCTCCATGTACCATCTGTGTACTCTCTCAAGATGTATCGCAAAGATTTATGCTATTTGATTTCTTTTGCTTATTTCATGTGCTCTCTGATTTCAAATTGACCTCTCATCGTGTATTATATTATTGTACACACCTCTATGTACCATCTGTGTACTCTCTCAAGATGTATCTCAAACATCCATCCTGTTTTACTCCTGTCTTTAATCGCTTTCATTCTGCTAAGCTGTGCTCTCTGATTTCAAACTGGCCTCTTGTCATCTAGTGCGTGCAGCACCCTGAATCCACCTCTGAGTTTGAAATGGGTTTTATACACGAAAGTGATCAGGAGAAAAGGAAAGTGGCAGGTTTCCTGCTGGGGGTGTGGGGAGGGTCTGGTGAAACGTGTTGGGGGCCGAGGGAGAAGAAAGAAGCAGGTGGCGATACAACAATAGGCGCAGCACCAGCAGCCAGCAGCAGCCAGCCCGGTGACACCGCTGCTGGGGAAGTTGGAGAAGGAAGAGGAGAGTGAAGGGGCGAGAAAAGCGAAAGACCGACCTGCGTGTGTGATGTCGGACAGGTCGTAGTTGCGGGCGCTGCGGGGAAACTCCTTCAGTTTGCGGGTGGACAAGTTGAGAGCCCCGCTCGCCGCAGCCTCCTCCAGCGCCTTCTCCACGCTCCGGCTGGCCGCTACGGTGGCCGGCAGGGCTCCATCCCCCGCAGCCATCGAGCGCGCAGCTCTGCCTCCTCTTCTACTTTGTTTGGGGCGTCCGCGCCGCGTTCATACCCCGCACGTCCTCATGCGGTCCAAACCGAGCGCCCCGCCGGTAAACTCGCGTGAAAGTACGGGGTTGAAATCCGAGGAAACAAGGGAAAGTTCGTCTGTGGACGCGGGTCGCGGCTGCTCCTCCACGGGAGTTGTCTTCTTCTACTGAAGCGCGGCGCGGCGAGCTGTCAATCTTTCAGGAAGTTGCGTCAAGGCCGAATGTTTCACAACGGTGTTACGGGAAAGACGAGCCCGTCCTCCAAAGTAAAAGCACAAAACTTTCCACACCCAGAAGCGCGATGAAACCATGGCATCGTCTTTCACCACATAGTTCAAGTTCAAGGCGTTCATTTTCTTATGTACAGTCCCTGAACAATGAAGAGTATTATATATAATATACTACAGTATAATATATTATATTGTCAATATGTTTATATTATATACAATATAAATAGGAAGCTGGATGAAGTATAAGATTATTAATAATCATTAAATATTAATGATTTATGGAGAAGGAGTGAGATGAAGCAATTTCTTATCACTTCTTTTCGAATTTGTAGATTAAATCTGAAAAAATTAAACAAGTGTTTCATTTTTTTTCCTCAGCAGTTTATCAATAATACCTTTTTCTGTTGTTTTTCACTTGTTTTGTAATTTTCTCTTTTTCGATATAAATACAAAAATTTTAATGAAATTCTTTCTTTGCCTTCCACTATGAATACTGTTAACAGTTTAAAAACTGTTAAGAGTTTAAAAATAATTAAAAAATAAATGAGTTAAAGATATAAAGATGATACGTGCAATAAAACATCAGCGCAATGTAGTGCAATAGGCATATAATATGATTCATAGCAGTGTTGATTTTATCAAACAATCAATCAAATTGTATTTGTGACATCATCTGCCCTTAACCCTCAACAAGAGTAAGGAAAAACTATTAACAGGACGGACAGAAGTGCAATAGATGCCACGTGTAATGGAGAACTTCAAAAAATAACAGTATTTACAAGATTGATGCATGTATTGATGAGACATTAATTTGATAAAGAGGGAGAAGAGGAAAGAGAAGCTCCACGTGTCATGGTCCAAGAGAGAGTATTATTAGTAGTAGAAGTAGTGGTAGTAGTAGTAGTAGTAGTGTTTTGTCATATACAAAACAATACAAACACACACGGACAAACTCTGCTTTTTATTGTGATAGTTATAACCGGAAGTGCAGGAGACCAGTGTTTCTCTCTACCTGGGTTTTATGTCGCTGTGAGGGGGGGCGTGGGCGTGGTCACAGCGCGAGTAATTTTGACTGGCACTCAAGGGGCGGGGCCTCTTCTTGCATATTTAATGTTGCTTTCATTTCGGCGGAAACAAATGAATGTTGATGCTCAAAGGCAGCAGGCAGAATGAGAGTTGCACACACGCTCTCTGTGATATGACTGAAGCATCCCTTTTATTAGAAATGAAAAAGAAAAGCTCGTGTCTCTGCAAATCCATTCAATTGTTCATCTTTACTCTTCATTCTAGTTATAAAAAGTACAATATCAAAGGACCCACAATAAAGGATGAAGAGTGTCTGTGGTCATTGTATGTGTGTGTGTCTGTTTACACACGTGTCTACACTCATATAAGTGCAAATGCAGCGTCAGCAGGGCCACATTGTCTCCCGAGAGGTTTATAGCTCTTATTCTTATTCCTCCATTCTTTCAGGAACAGATGACTCCCCTCCTACACACACACACACACACACACACACACACACTTCTGCACCCATTAGCATTGTCCCCACCTCTCCATCCTCCATCCATGCTTCCCTTTAGCGTTTGTCTCCTCCCTCCCTCTCCAGCGTCCCATTGGACCATCTGTCAAAGTCCTGTCTGACTCGTGGCCCAGCTGGGACCAGTGTGTATGTGTGTGTGTGGGGGGGGTGTCTGTGTGTCGGGTAGGCAGGGGTTAACTTTCACTCTGCATGTGCTTGTAAAATCCATTAACAGTCACTGCTTAACTCATTTATTCCACTGTATTTCTGTGAGATTATAGTGGCCTCCCCCACCCGTGGGGATGCTGCAATACTGCTTGGTCGGCTGTTTTGATGTTTCCTTTGTTTGTTTCCATCTTCCCGAACCCATCAAGTCTACAGAGCAGAAATATAGGCCACTAAATGAAATGCTTTTTTGCAAAATGTCATGTGTTGACTGATGATGTATAAATACATAATGATGAATTAATGAATAAATAAACAATCAGTGGATTTGTTTTTGACATAAATGGCATTTATTCAAGATTTATAAGACCGGCCTTGCACAAATCCAGGTGTCAACCCAGTACAAGAAATGTTTGACAAGTGTTGATGAACTGCACAGGAGGCATTTTATATAGTGCTGCTATAGGGCAGCAATTTTGTTATATCACATAGTCTGGAGTGGCCTTGCACAGCCAGATCCCCTCAGTGCTGGAGGATGGTCTGGCTTGTACTTTATCATTCTGATGTGAGTGTGGAAAAAAACACTTTGGCTTGTTTGTATTTCTCTGATCACAACCATCTTGGCCATTGACTGTGCTGCTGCAAAATAATATTTGCAATAATATTTCACTGTCATTAACATGGCAGATTACAAAGAAAATGTTACACTTAAGAATGGACAAGATGTGGAATATCTCTTGTATGTTTGAAGGTCTCGACATGGCAGCCTCCGTAGAGAGGGTCCCCTCGATGTAAATATAAAGTATTTAACTATAAAGGACCTTTTCTGGGGTAAAGAAAACTACAATTCATACAATTTAGATGAAACAAACAACTGAAAACATCATTTTTATTATTCTACATTAAATTTCTGCCAATAGTTCCCTTTCACCTGAATCTTACACACTGGACCTTTAAATTGCCAACCGCCAGTAGATGTTCGTGGATGTTAGCGGCCGCAGTGGATTTATCCTTCTGATCCAGAGCCACTGGTTTCAGCATTCTGCAGTTCGTGATATGTCTTATGGTACAGGGCTTGTCTGTGGATTTCTAGATCTCAGAGCAATCTGATGGTGCATGTTGCATTAAATCCCCTGCAGCCAACCACTACTGGGCAGACAATTCCTTTACAGCCACGTTGTTCATCTCCGTGTCCCACAGCCTCTTCCTCTCATTCGCTTCATAGACTGTCTACGTGAATTGTCAGTACCCTGGGAGGATGCTCTGTGAAAACAATGAAAGACGTGTTTACTTTGTGATTACACGATCCAAATCTTCTCCTACATTAACATTTTCTGGATGCAGGTGATTATTTCCTGTAGTGAAGATGGTTTTTAAAGCAGATAATAGCTGGAGTGGAGATTGCTGAGTAAGACATGTGGTCAATGACAGGCTATACCTTCGGTCTACCTACGTTTAGTCCAAAGTGACTTAGAACAAGTGTGTTCCACCACGAAAAAGAGCGAGCTGTCACCCGAACTCATTTACATATCAGCACACATGCATTCAGTTGATGTCGTTAAGGTTTGTTCAAAATGTCCCCAGATTTGTTTAAAAAAAGGAGATAACACTGCCTGAAGGCACACTGGCACCTGCACGTGACAATTATTCCTAATAACAGCCAATGATAAAATCCCGTCACTCACTGGGCTAACTAGTGGTGTAACTTTATCACTTAAATGTATGATTATTATCATATTTGTCAGTTACACATGATCAAAAAGCTGATAATCCCAAAATGTATGATCATTTAGCGAGTATTGACACTGTGTGTGTTAAAGCATGTTTGTTATGATGGTTTATATGAATCCTTTCAAATTTGGAGGATCTGGACAAAAGGAGTTTATTTATCTGCATGGTTGTTGTTTTTTATTTTCACAGATTTTCCAGGGAATAATATCTTCAGACTTGTATCTATGAGTGCGTGCAGTTTGGTGCAGCTTGACTGAATCTACAGAGACCGTTGGGCCCTGGAGGATGCATTCATCTCAGTGCCATTCTGTCTGTCTGTCAACATGATTACTCAAAAGCTACTGATCTGATTTCCATGAAATCTTGTGCAGGGGGTGCCTGACCCACTAACAAACCCATTAAATTTGGTGCGGAGCAAGATAAACTAGCAGATCCAGGAGTTTTTTTTTTACTTTCTTTAACATGACGAGATAGGCGATACTGGCCGAGTGCGCCCTCTGAGACCTCGACATATAATTTTATTTTAACGGAGACACACAAGAGGTTCGAGAGATGATTTGAAACACACGCAGACACTTTCAAAAACACATGCATGATCATCCAGTGTGTGAGCAACACAACAAGGGCTGTCAACAAAAAGAGCAGTGACACAAGCTCCCTGATAATGAGCGTGAATATTCATGCTCTTCATTGACCCACATGCTTTTGTGATGATCATCATCATCACTATGACCAATCCAAAGACAAAAAAGTTGGTTGGAATTCATTGAATTCATTAATCCGCCAGATATATTTAGTTCTCTTGATTGCATCATGTAATTAATGAAACAGCAACACATCTTATTGATGAGGTAATCTAGTCTTTTGTTGAAAAACTCTTTTCCCATCATTCTTTTTGTTTGTTTTTGGTGTGACTTCACAGTTTCTCACGCTCTTTGTCCATCCCTCCTTCCTCTGAGCTCTCCCTCTCTTCCTCTCCCATCCTGCTCTTTAACCCCATGTGGGTTGCAGAGACACAGTCAGTGTCCTGAGCGCCTTCTCTCTAGGGTGCAGACATTTTCCTTTCACAGCTTTGCTGACCAGAGCAACAACTGCATTAACAGAACTTGTTTTTCTTCATTAAAAACACATGCTCAGCAGAGAGAAGAGAATAAGGTCAGAAACTAATTTAATTTGCTTGTTTTACTGTAGTGTTGCTGGGTTTACTGTGCAGAATAAGGAAGTATGAGCACCAATTAAACTTTTGGAAAGAACAATATTTGTGAATAGATGTCAGATCTTTAAATGATGGAGAAAACAAGATTTTATTTCTATATGTAGCATATAACATGTATTATCTTAAGGCACTTTAGATAGTAAGTTAAAGACCTTATTGCCTTATAAACAGCTCACTCTGTTTTGCTCCTATTTCATTGAAGAAACCTCTGGGGCATCCTGTCATGTATAAAGTTGAGTATCATCTGCATAGTCAAACTCATGTAAAGGTGAATAAAGTTGTCAGGTGGGAACTGAACCCTGTGGAACACCATATCAGGTTTTTGTATTGTAC